TGACAACACCAAGCCAAGGGTTAAGATCCCCTTACTGGTCATCTTTAAAAAAAAAAAAAACCTAAAGACTCCAAAAAACTCTTACAGCTAATAAAAGATTTCAGTAAAGTTGCAAATACAAAATCAAAATGCAAAAATCAGTAGCATTTTTATACTCCAACAATGAACTAGAAGGAAAAATCAAGAAAGCAAGCCCATTTACAATAGTCACCAAAAAAATTAAATGTCTAGGAATAAATTTAACCAAGGAGGTGAAAGATCTCTACAGTGAGAACTACAAGTCACTGCTGAAAGAAATTAAAGAGGACTCAAAAAGATGGAAAGACATTCCATGTTCACGGATGGAAGAATTAACATTGTGAAAATGTCCATACTACCCAAAGCAAACTACAGATTCAATGCAATTCCTATCAAAATACCAATGACATTCTTCACAGAATTAGAAAAAAAAATCCTAACATTCATATGGAACAAGAAAAGACCCCACATAAGCCAAAGCAATCCTGAGCAAAAATAAATAAATAAAGCCAGAGGCATAACACTCCCTGACTTCAAACCATACTTCAAAGCTGTAGTAACCAAAACAGTATGGTACTCGCATAAAAACAGACACTCAGACCAATGCAACAGAATAGAGAACCCATAAATCAATACACATACTTAAAGCCAACTGATCCTTGATAAAGGCCTCAAGAACAGACATTGGGAAAAGACTGCCTCTTCAATAAATGGTACTGGGAAAACTAGATATCCATGTGTAGAAAAATGAGACTAGACCCATACCTCTCACCATATAGCAAAATCAACTCAAATGTATTAGAGACTTAAATATGAGACCTGAAACTATAAAACTCCTAAGAGAAAACATAGGGGAAACACTTCAGGAAGGACTGGGCAAAGACTTTATGAATAAGACCCCAAAAGCACAGGCAACAGAAAAATAAATGAGATTATATCAAACCAAAAAAACTCTGCACAGCAAAAGAAACAATTAACAGAGCAAAAAGAAAACCTACAGAACAGGCAAAAATATTTGCAAATTATGCATCCAGCAAGGAACTCAAACAACGTAACGGTAAAGAAACAAGTAACCCAATTAAAAAATGGGCAAAGGAGCTGAATAGGCATTTCTCAAAGGTATACAAATGGCCATGCAAAAGATATACAGATGGACAACAGACATGAAAAAATGCTCCCCACCAACTAATCATCAGGGAAATGCAAATCGAAACCACATTGAGATATCATCTCACCCCAGTTAGACTGGCTACTATCAAAAAGACAAAACAATAAATGCTAGCAAGACTGTGGAGAAAGGGGAACCTTTCTACACTTCTGCTGGAACTGTAGATTAGTACAGCCATTATGGAAAATAGTATGGAGGTTTCTCAAACAACTACAGATAGAACTACCATATGATCCAGCAATTCCACTACTGGGTCATACCCACAGGAATGGAAATCATCATGTCAAAGGGATATCTGCACTCCCATGTGTACTGCAGCCCGTTTACAATAGCCAAGCTATGGAACCAACTTAAATGTCCATCGATGGACAACTGGATAAGGAAAATGTATATATACTCAATGGAATACTACTTTGCCATAAAAAAAGAATGAAATTCTGCCATTTGCAGCAACATGGACGAACTCATTGAAAATCATGTTAAGTGAAATAAGCCAGGCACAGAAAGAGAAATACCACGTCCTCACTCATAAATGGGAACTAAAAAGAAAGGAAAAAAGAAAGAAAGATACAATAATCACAATAACATATTGAGCTTTCAAAAGGAGAGAATAGAACTGAGGTTACCAGAGATGGGAAAGAGGGAAGGGGAGGAGGGTTAGTGAGAAATTGGTAAAGGGCCAGAAAAAATGATTATATTATATAAAATGTTGAATATACTAATTATCCCAATTTGAGCATCACATATTGCATACAAGCTTTAATATTCAATGCTGTAACCCACAGATATGTACAATTATGTTTCAATACAAGTAAATAAATATAAAAACATGAAAAAGTAATAAAAATAATGATTAAAATGACACATTTCATCATATATATTTTGCCATTAAAAAAATAGAATTCCCAGTTTTGGGTATCAAGGGGGCATTTTTTACATTTCCACCAACCTCTGTGTGTCTTTATCAATAGTAGCAAACTGGACCCCGGAGAGCCCAGAAGAGCATTAACTGGCCTTGGGTATAGTTGTCTGCCCCAGGAGGGCTACTTTTACCTTAAATCCTTCTCTATCAGTGGCTGTTAAACCTTCAAAGTCAGGGATTTCTTTGAGCACCTGATGAAAGCTGGAGGGAATCTCTTACTAGAAAAGTGTCAATAAACACAAAATTTCTTCTTATGATGTTAACAAGCACACCCCTTCTGGATTCCTAGGGATCCACAAACCCTCAACTTAAGAGCCTTTGTTCTAAAGTGACCTCCAAGTTATGTCTGTGCTCTTGTTCTATGAAAATAGCAGATGCTGGCTAAGGGCCTGCTGCTTTTGTATTTTACAGAAAGTTGTTGTTCAGTGTATTTACTGTAAAAGGGTCAGGCTCTGCCAGCTCTGGGAAAAACTTAATCTCTGGGAGCACATAGCAAGGAAGTTTGAGGAGGGACTATACATACATAAGTCTGCTTTTTGTTCAGCTGTCCTGGGTTTGACCTGGAGAGAATGAGGCCAAGGAAAGAAAGAACTGGTGGAGTTGGTTATTTAAGTGAACTTGGCAAGAAAACACTAAGCCTAATTACCCTGCACACTGAGGGGACAGGGGAGTTTATTTGGAGATCTTCACCTATAAAGTCTACCAGCACATTCCTAGCTCTTTATGCCAAAATATCTTTCATATAGTTAATCTGAGAGGGGTTGACTTTCTCTGGCTAGCTCTACACTACCATTAGCCATTGCTAGTAGAATGCCCACAGACCCCAGGAAAGCTAACCATCCCACTGTGGCACAAAGAAAAGAAAACATGCCAGTGCATGTCCTTTAGCTGGCCCAAAGAGGGGAAAGATGAATGACCTGAGGGCCTGCAACAAGACCCTGCCCAAAGATCTTGTGTTCCCATGCAGCCTAAGCATTGCAGCCTCTGCCCTTGACCTGGCTAACATCATGTATATCACTTTTCTCTGCTTCCCAGTGCAATGGGCCTTGCATCGGACCTCGCCTAGCTGTGCAGCACAGACAGGTCTTCTGCCAGACACGGGATGGCATCACCCTACCATCAGAGCAGTGTAGTGCCCTTCCGAGGTAAGAGCAAGCCCTGGTCCTCCTTTCCCCAGCCCCTGTACCAATAACATGGAAAGACAGTGGTAAGTGTTTTCCCTCCAACCTCTGATGGCCCAGGTGTCAAACACCCAGCCCTCTCACCTCCGCTTGTCACCAGAGCAGTGTAGTGCCCTTCCGAGGTAAGAGCAAGCCCTGGTCCTCCTTTCCCCAGCCCCTGTGCCAATAACATGGAAAGACAGTGGTAAGTGTTTTCCCTCCAACCTCTGATGGCCCAGGTGTCAAACACCCAGCCCTCTCACCTCCGCTTGTCACCAGCCTCCTCAGAACTAGATAGCCCAGTGGTGGCCTTGTGCTTGCCTAATGGGCCAGGCTGGGCTTTCCTCTCCTGGGGATAAAAAGTGCACCGAGTGTTATTCCTCTGAGGGAGGCCTGATACCACAAGAGCCCTGCACTAGCCTAGGTGGGCAGGAGGCAAAGACTACCCAATGGTCACCAAGACCTGAAGGGCTCCACCAGCCCCCACTCTTGTTGACTTTCCTCTAGAAGTTAGATTGAGATGAGAGTTCTGGTTCCTGGGTCTAATCCTATTTTTATTCAACTCACATCCACAACTCCTTGTAGATGTCCCCCTGGGGGAAGAGCTCACCACCCCCACCTAAGACCCCAGGCTCTGCCTCTGCAGCCTCCAGACTGGGTAGAGTTCATTCTTGGGTCGTGCAGTGACATATACATTGTAGAGAAGAGTAGATGGAGGCCTAGTTAGAGGAAGTAACCATAAGATCTTGAGACCTTATGACAGTAACAGAGCAGATCAGAACCCAGGTCTGGTGATACTGGAGGTTCCTGAGGAGTTACCCAACATTCCTGGATTTGCAGCATTGTTTTCACGTCCTCCTGGCCCCCACAGAGGCAGACCTTAATGCTGCCACCCTCCTCCTGCAGGCCTGTGAGCACCCAGAACTGCTGGTCAGAGGCGTGCAGCGTACACTGGAGGGTCAGCCTGTGGACCTTGTGCACGGCAACCTGCGGCAACTACGGCTTCCAGTCCCGACGTGTGGAGTGTGTGCATGTCCGCACCAACAAGGCAGTGCCTGACCACCTGTGCTCCTGGGGGCCCCGGCCTGCCAACTGGCAGCGCTGCAACATCACCCCGTGTGAAAACAGTACGTTCCAACCCCAAAGAACCTTCTGCAAATTCCCCACAGGGCATCGGGTGCAGAGGGAAGTCCCTGGGACAGAGCCTGAGCATAGGGCATTGGATCAGGTTTCCCAAGGATTGTGAGCTGGGCCAGAGCTGAGCATTCAGAGGGGTGCATGAGTGTGTGCAAGGATGTGTGTGCACATATCCAGGCCACAAAAGACGGCAGGGTGTGCCCCACAGGCTTCCATGGTCTCCATCCTTGCCCTGAGAGCCAGATGCCATTGGCCAAGTGCTGGATGAAATCGGCCCCCAGTTGGCCTGCAGTCGTTCTGGCTGGTGCCCACAGGGAGTCACTAAACAGTGGCCATCAGGGGCCAGGCTGCTAACAAGAAAGCGCTGTTAACACTGAAGAAGCACTCAGAGTGCCTCCCGCTCGCCCTGCACCTGTCACTGCTCTGCCTCCCACCGGACAAGGACCTGCTGACTGCCTCCCTCCTTCCCATGGGCAGCCACCGGAACTGTGCGGGAGCCCACACCTTGGAACGTGATCCTCACATCACTCCCTCCTCCCTCAAGTGTAGGTCATGCTCAGCCCAACACCAGCATTTGTATCCCAGCTGGGTAGGGATCCATTTTCTTTTTCTCTGAACTCAAAACCCACATCAGCAGTGCCTCTCAAGGAAGAAATAAAGTTCAGGCGAAGAATAGGAAATAAATACAAAGGTAACAATGCAGTTTTCCCCAAAATTGGGCCTCTCTGAGCAATAGATTACCAGCACTAAGGCAGGGGTCCTGCAGACAAATAGCCCATTTCTTTGCATACACAGGGGGATGGATGATCTTGGAGCTCTGGCGTAGTGCAGACCCATGTTTCTGTCAGTGGCTCACCGTGCTCAGAGAGTAGCAGCATTCAACGTGACTTACTTACCAAACCAAGCCAGCACCAGTATTTAAGAACCTTCTAATCTGTGCCAATACCAAACTGGAATGCCATGGTTAAGGCATGGGTGGTGGAAGGAGTAGGGAGGCTCAGGTGGAGAATACAAGAAAACGAAGCTTAACAGAGAAAGTAAGGCTCCAGCGCCTGGGATGAGGGCATCCTCCGGGGCCTCACTTACTCCTTCAAGGTGGAGCAGAATTCAGTCCTTCTGGGAACCAGCTCAAGGAGGAGAGTCATAAAATACCAAAAGCCCATGGGCAAAAGTGAGGTGGTCCGAGGCAAGGGAGAAGACAAGCACCATCAGGAAGCAGAGGGAGCTATCAGAAAGGCAGCAAGGAGGGCCCAGGGACAAGCACCACCATTCAGCCAGACAGCTACAGGCAGGGGCCACCCCACCATTGGCAGCCTGAGGGGCAAGTGGCTGAGTTCAGCCAGAGCGCCCCCCAGGGGCTGGAGAGCAGTGGCCAAGGCAGGCCCAGGAGGCCCCCCAGCGCCTCTGTTTCACATCTCCTTTCTGTCCCCTTTCTGCACCCCCTCTCCTCCTTTCCCAGTGGAGTGCAGAGACACCACCAGGTACTGCGAGAAGGTCAAACAGCTGAAGCTCTGCCAACTCAGCCAGTTCAAATCTCGCTGCTGTGGAACGTGTGGCAGAGCATGAAGACAGGGCATGGGGAACAGCTCTACCCTGGCCACGCAAAGGACTCACGCAACCACCTTGGACAGAACTGAAGCCTTCTTCATTTATTTATTTATTTCCCCCTCCCTGCCCCGCCACACACACCCTCCTCCCTACATGCCCCACTCCCCAGCATGTTTTCTTTCACTTAGCTGGAGGACAGAATGTTGGGAAAGGAAAAGGACGGATGTCTAAAGGAGGTTGCAGAACCGGCCAGGCAGACAGAGCAGGCTCCTTCTCAAACCTGGGTCTCAGAGAGACCTAGGCAGAAGCAGCATATCCCCTGGGCACAGCAGGGAGCCAGAGGGTTTGTAAAGTATTGGTATGAAATTGGACAACCAACTGTGCTTTCCTGGAAGGTCACTGTTAATACAGGAGCATGTTGCTTCTGTGTCCCCTCAGTCACTGTAAGGATGGGGGGATCTTCAGGCTGAGGCAGAAACTGCCCAGAACTCAGCTCTTCCAGCGGGGGCACGGAGAGAACTCAGAACATGGATAGGTAAGGGTAAAGAAGCGGACAACTAAAGGAGGCCTAAGGCACACAATGCAGATAATTAAGTAGGGAGGGAAGGCACAGAAGGGAAAAGAGAGCCCTCCCTTCATGGGGAGAAGTGAGCAGGCAAGAGGGGGCTTGCAGCCAGCACATGAGGTCACATGATGGGCTCCCCCCCACCCCCCCACCATGCACACTTGGCCCTGCAGGCTCAGTAGAGGTGTGCGGACATGCTCAGAGCCATGCTGCCCTCTGAGTGCCCGTGCTGTGTGGCAGGGGACGTGCTCTCCACAGGGTGGAGGGCGGGGCCCCACTCCCCACACTACCTGAGTGAACTTCCTGCCCGTGCAGCTGTGGCAAGCCAGTGACAGGTCAGCATCTGGCTGTGCAGTGAGACCACCCCTGGCATCTCTCATCTAAATTGAGAGTTCTCCAGCCCTGATATAACTGCTGCTGTGAGCCAGGGCATTTTGAGCATGAATAGGCCAGGCTTTCTGCCCCTGTGGCCTTTGCTGCTCCACTTAAGGGCCAGGGGCTGTCAATTTGTTAAAATCGATGCATTAACTAACCAATTTGCCAGAGAGAGTCTGGCAGGTTGTAGCAAGCCCTTCATTCCAGAGCTGGCCAGCAACAGGGTGGGTCAGTGGGCTTGTGTGCACACAATGATCCCTGCTGTCCCAGCCACCACCCCTAGGGTCTGCAGGCTCTGCCCCTAGCACAGTGAGAACTGCTGTATACAGCATTTAAATAGCAGGCTGGGATGGGCCACGAGGAGCTGTGGCAAAGTCAAAGGATAGCTAAGGAAGCCCAGATAGTCCTCACAGGCTGTTCAACCAACCCATCCTCCACACACAATGGAACACTATAAACTGTGTAATAATAAATACATACCAGTTTTGGTGACTCGATAATTCCGCAGGCAAAGCAGCACACTCGCTGTGGCAGTGCAAATCAGCTATGGCGAAATGACTGCGGGAAAGTCAAGCGGCAAAAGTGAAACTTTGGGACTATTTGGAAAATTGCTCATTAAGCAGAGCAGCTTTGGGCAAGTAATTTTTGCCTCCTTCCCCTGAATAGCCACAGTTTAGCAGTCAGCGCGAGGCAGGGCGGCCAGAGTCACCCACCCACCCCTCCCAGATAAGCCCCCACTCACATACACCCTCGCAAATTCCACTCACCCAGGGCCACCACTGACATCAGGGCTGCATGTTCCAGCCAGCCTGGAAGTAAAAATCAGGGGGAAGACAATATTAATCTGTCTTCCCCAGGTGAGCTATGGTCAATTAGGTTGAGTCTCTTTCTTCCTCACCACAGGCTCTAAGAAATCATGTTACTAAAAATCAGTGTAATGTTTATTTAAAATAAAAGAATGTTTTCTATGTCTGTATATCTTTTGTGAATATTTATTAGGATTTCTTGTATAAAAAAGTGCAATATTAATAATTGTACATTGTCATCCAGAAAAAGTATTTGGGGGATTTTTATTAACTTCTTGCAGTTATATTCCTGTAAACTCAGTGGTGATTTTTGTATTTTTCCTATTTTTAATAGAATCTGGTGTTTAACTCTGGATCCATTCACTGTGTACAGAATACATTGTAAAAGCTAACATGGGATGCTGGGGTCGTAAGAGGAGATTCTTTTGTGACACAATAGTTATGCATGCAATGACGACAAATTTCATACTACTACTACTGTGGTTGATTATTTCTAGATCTATAGCTATTGAAAATCAGTGGTCAATACTGACGTTTCCTAAATAGCATGCACCCTCCAGCTGCACCATGTGTTGGGTTGTAGAAATTGGGAGTGGGTGCAGAGTGAGCTGGACAGCCTAGGTTTGGGGTGGAAAGCAGTGTGCGCCTTGCATGAGATGAATGTACATTTAATGTTTGTTCTGTGAACTGCGACTCAGCAGCACCCCAAGATTATTAGGGCTGCTGGATAATGTTTAAGGAGGCACTTCCTCCTCTAAAACACAAAACTGTATTTATATTTTTTGTACAGATAATACAGCTTATTTATTTAAATCTTGTCGTCTGAGTCTCTATTAAGCTGAGCCTTCCCATCATGTTTTATGCAGGGGGTGAGAAAAGTCCCTGCCGATTGGCTGGTTCCCAGCCAGCAATGTGTGTTTGGCTGCAGTGGAAGAATTGCAATTTTCAGCTTTGCGTGGAAAGCAGGGGCTCATGCCTGGAAGGGCCAGCTCTGTAATGAGCCCAGGAGATGACAATCATGTCATTTACGGTCCTGTGTAGCAGGATGGGAGCCATGGTACCTTCAAGAAGAAATGCAAGCAGGGGTGTCTTTTGGGATAAATGCTGACTTGGTTGTGGGAGTATCTCACTCCAGGTCAGGCTCTCTGCCAACAGGGGCGTGCACAGTGTGGAGCAGCAACATGGTGAAATTTTGGATGTGCCCTATTAATAGAGGCTAACATTTATAGATCACTACTATATTTAATCCCCACATTGACCCTATGATTATCCCCATTTACATGTGGATAAATATAAGCCCAGAGAACCTGAGGTCAGCCAGCTGGTGGATCCAGGACTCTAACTCAGGCAATCTGACCCTCACCAAAGACTGGTCTTTACCCACTGTGCTGCCTCCTGCCCCTCTGTGCTATAGCTGACCATGCCATGGCCACCTGGGCACACACACCATTCTTTTCCACTGCTTTGAGCTTGGTAGAAGATGACAATGGGACATTTTACCTGGGCTGATGCTTTTTCCTGTCCTCAAATCAATTGTTTTAGCATTATAGGGCTTCTAGCTCCCTATTTTTAAAGCATTTTAATGGAAGTATAGGTACTGTAGAAAGTGGAGAAAAAACAAAAGCGCATTTGCAGAGTTCTTCATAAACAGGCTCCAGTGAAAGTGCAGCATGTCACCAGGCCCAGGGAATGTCCTTACCTGGACCACTGTGAGAGACACTCCAGAAAACCCACAGTCTGAAAGCCTGTTTTCCAGCAACATGCCCCAGCACATCACACCCCTGTTGAGCAGTGTGAAAACATACCAGGAAACTCTTCTTGGAATTCTAATTATTTTCTAGGAAGTTTTAGGTCTGCTTTAAAGAAAAAGCCAATGCTAGAACTATAAATACTCACATACCAGCAACCAAACAATGTCCCACAGAGGCCCCAGGGTAGGGGGAGGAGTTGAAGATACCAGAGCAAGAACCAAGAAGGCTCAAAGGGTGGGAAGAACTCAAGAAGAATGCGTGGAAAGTTTTCCAGCAAAGATCACAGACCTCAGCAGGGAGAAAAAGAGATGCCACCAACCACAGTATGAAAGTTTGGAATCCTAACCACATGCCAGCCCTGGGATTGTTAGACTTCATACTGGACTCCCCGCTTAGCCTCAGAAGTTTCCAGGACTTTAATAAGATGAACCAAGGAAATCAGTGGACCCATTAAAACCAGAGCAGTCAACAGTCACCAAAGCTCATTCATGTCTCAGCTTCCTCATCTGTAACAGGAGGATACCATATAGGGTAGGGTTGTTGTGAGAAAACTATTAGTTAACTCATGCTGAGAAAATATAAGGATCCTGGCATATCATTGAAGCGCTCACTAATGTTAACTGCTGTTATTAGCATTATCATCCAAGCTACCTTGGAAAAAGACAGGGAAATGAAGGTCAGGGCTGGCAGCATTTTTACTATTTCATTTATTTCCCTTTATCAGCTTCGAAAGACTCTTCCCTGTGTTTCCACTTTTGATTGAGAGGGAAAACAGTCAATCCATCAAAGCTCAATACTACACAACAGTGTAAACAAGAGAGACCTAAGTGAACCAAATCCCATCTTGAAAGAAAAAAGATCAGTAGAGGGAAAACAGTCAATCCATCAAAGCTCAATACTACACAACAGTGTAAACAAGAGAGACCAAAGTGAACCAAATTCCATCTTGAAAGAAAAAAGATCAGTCTAGGGCCAGCCCGGTGGCGCACTGCTACAGTGCACCGCTTGGGAGCACGGCGGCGCTCCCGC